ATATGAAAGTAAAAAAATGGCTAAATCGCCTAAAAATTAGAAAACTTAAAAAATTCATGTAATTTAAACCACGTCTGCAAATGAAAGCAAATTGCAAACAAATTTTAACTGAAGCTTCCTTTATCGAATGTTAAAACCCGGACCCTCATACTTGTCCCCAATCTTGAGTAAGGGGCTCTTAATGTGAAAGTACAAAACTGACCAAATCGCCTAAGAATTAGGAAATTTTAAAAATTCATGTAATTTAAAACACTTTTGCGACGGAAGTCGAATTGAAATCAAATCTTAAGTGAAACTTCCTTTATTGAATGTTGAAACCCGCACCTTCAGACTTGTCCTCAACTTTGAGTAAAGCGCTCCAGAAGATGAAAGTGCAAAAACGGCAAAATGACGTAAGAATTAGGAAACTTTAAAAATTCATGTAATTTAAACCACTTTTGCTAATAGAGGCAAATTCACATCGAATCGTGAAGCTTTACTTATCGACTGTTGAAGCCCCCATACTCATATTTGTACTCAGCTTTGAGTAATGAGCTCCAAAGGATGAAAGTGCAAAAACGGCAAAATGGCCTAAGAATTAGAAAACTTTAAAAATTCATGTAATTAAAACCACTTTTGCGAATAGAGGCAAATTGACGCCGACACGTAAATGAAGCTTCCTTTATCGAATTTTGAAACCCACACCCTCATCCTTGTCCTCAACTTTGAGTAACGAGCTCCAGAATAGGTATGAAAGTCCAAAAATGGCAAAATCGCCTAAGAATGAGAAAACTTTAAAAATTAATTTAATGCAAACCACTTTTGCGAATGAAGGCAAATTGCCACCCAATTTTTATTGAAGCTTCCTTTACCGTTTGTTACAAGCTTCGGTTCTCATATTTGACATCAACTTGGAGTAATGGGCTGTAGAGCATAAAAGTGGAAGAACGGTACAATCGCCTAAAGATTCGGAAAATTCGTCAACTCATAAAAATAACCTTTTTGTTTAGAATTTAACCAGATTTACATCAAGTTTTAATTGAAGCTTCCTTTATCGACTGTTGAACTCCGCATCCAGGCGTCAGTCCTGGATATCGAGAAACGAGCTCTAGAGGATGAGAGTGAAAAAAATGGTCAAATCGCCGAAGCTCTACTTTGCCAACTTATTGTAGAATATTAATTGGGGAATCAATGATATCGTAAGTCGCGCAGTTACTAATTTATCAATAAAACATTGCATAAGAAAAAAACATGTTTTTTTCATCAATATCAAAAAACACGGAATTACGCCAAAAACTTAACTATGAAATTAATGCTGTGCGTCACGTTCCACTCTGCCACTTAAAACTGGTTTTTTTTACGAAATAATCCGTTCTAATTATTGACAAGGGAAAAAAGTTGATTGTGGTATTTGAAAAATTTACATAAATTAAAAAACGGATAAATTCTTATTGCGTTTTTTAAATTTTCATTACTTACTATTCTCAAGACTGCGTCTGACTGCTAATAACTCACGGATTAAATGTAAATTAAAAGTCTTAGTTTGCAAAATTCTCCTAAAATTCTGTAGGTTTCACTACCATAAAGCGTCTGAGAAACTTGAGAAACTATAAGGAAAAAATATTAAATAGACCTTATCTTGGTTTATTGCCCAATACCCAAGAGTAGAAATGATAAATTTTAATCGAAATTGTATAAAAATTAATATTTTTAATTAGATGGTGTAATACTGCAATGGAACTACTATAAATAGTGATGATAAGTGGGGCTAAATTGATTTGTGAGTCAAATAAATGGCACAGAGATAAAGCGTTTCATCGGCTTCCTAAATGTTCAGCTGAGATTAATTAACAAATTGATTGTCCATTTTTTTCAATCAAATATAAAAAACGCACAAGCATTTCAACACTGAAAACCTTATTTTAAATGCAGTTATTTATGAAAAACATTGCCGAAAATTAGGTATTTTTTGGTGGCATCACGTCGAACATTTTCTTTTTGGCTGCCAAATCATGCAAGTAAAAGGTTGCCAACCAAACAGTTCATTCCTATTGGTTTCGGTTTTTCAAACAAACAAAATAGTACGAATGTTAATAATATCCCCACTTCGGTAAACATCCAGTTGATAACAATTCGCTTCACTTGACTTAAATTCTTCTAATTAGACGATTTAACAGCATTTTCGAAAATTATCTGAGATAATAAAACAGCGTCCACCGTTATCAGCTATTTTAAATTAACGGGTCAACGGTAATTATTCTTAAAATTATCATTTCAGCCCTGAACTGTGATGTCAAAGAAACCAACAATGGCTACATTCAATAGCATAAAGTATTCCTGATGTTTCGCTGGCAGAAGTGGCGAGTATCCTCAGAGTGGTGCTCTGCTGAGAAGATACAAGCCACTCCTGCTTGGGAAACGCCAGGAAAAATTTTCCCCATGGCCCAAAACGCCGGAAAAGTCATCAGTTTCAAGCAATAGCTGCGATCAGCTTCATTATTTACTGGCACAGTGTTTAAGACATATTGACATAAATGTAAAATTCACTCGGCATTCCCAATACTGTTTGAAAGTTTCCGGATTAGCCCGCGATTGCTCGTATAGTAGGCCCTTTTTTGACAGCGCCATGTAAATGATAGGCAAACTGGCAGGCCTATAAGCGCTAAATCGCCGGTTATACGTGTCAATTTACTCAATGTTTTTCGGCAATTAGGGTCGCATCTCTGAAGAGTCAAGTCACTCGTGCTTGCAAAACGTCAGGAAAATAAATATCTATTCACTCACTATAAGAGTGAAAGTGGCAAGAGTATCCGAGGGTCAGATTCGACTTGGTTGATTGCGAAAAGATAAGTCAGGGGTTATCCAGTTTTTCTTGTGGATTAGAGGGCTTTAGGAAAAAAAACTAAACAGTGACAGCGCATGATTTTGATTAGCGCTTGAAAGTGGCGACTTAAAAAAAATATATAAGCACTTTAGAGAAAAAACAATGTTTTGGCAAAACAAATTGCTTATGAAAATATGAACAGGAAATGTTTCCAAAAACAAAAATACCCACTTTTGCCGAAACCATCAAGATATGTACGAAAAAGAAAAAGTTACTTAAGATCTCTAAAACCCCATAAAATTTAATTTTGAGTTGAAAAGTTTCCTATATTTAACACACTTAAACATCCAGTAATTCACTCCATGTCTGATTAGCTTGATTGCAGAAAGTGTAGGCATCCACATGTTTGGCAACCGCCTCCGTTTTCAGCCAAAAAACTTATTACAAAAATGATGACATACCATGTTCCGCATCCAGCAATCCATATTTAGGTAAAACTGTGTGGAAAACAGAACAACTGAAGCGTTAATTAGCGTATCATGAAGCACTTTGATAGCGGCACAAATCAGAAGTGTATTCCGTCACAGAACTCGAACATTTTGCTGAGAAAATCGAATTGAAAGAAACCGACACAAATTTGCGTTCAACTGCCAACTACCAAATATTTACCGAAACTGAAGAATCATTCGGCTTTGGGATGCAGATTGGTGTGGGCTCCGACCAGCCAGAATAGAAACCGATTAACCCATATGGTGGCTGTGGACTCCAGCCAGTCAGGATTCAGTTGGATTTCCGATTTTATAAACATTTACTATTTTTGTGCATTTTTCGATTGGCATTGGCGTGCTGAACGGCTCGATCATGTCGTTCAAAACTAGCGCATCCACAGGACCGGAATTTACCACAAAATTTACACAAATCTATTTCTTATTTTGCAAATTTTACTGATGGATTTTAGGAAAAGCAAAAATATTGAGCTGCAATGAGTAAAGCGTGCAAACACATACACTGTTATTGAATTTATATCGAAGTATTTTACGAATATCTGAGGTTTTTTGGGAGAATTACGTTTCTTGGTACTCACTAAATATCCAAAAAAAAATGAATGGTTATATTTATATTTGGGGCGCAATTATGCAGTTCGTTCATGCAACATTAATTTTTATCAGCTTGCTTCACCCAATCTACTAACTTCGTCTATTAGTATTGTAGGTATATTAATTCTTCAGCAATAATTATTTTAGCTACCATCCCATTGCTGCTGATAGCAATTCAGACGCTTCATTTGATCGCTTGCAAAAAATGTGATGAATTAACATACTGGTGAGGTAACGAATTAGCCAAACGAAAGATGCTAAGCTCCGTTCCTGAAGCGTCAGCGCATAAATGCACATAATTGCATTGATAAACGTAATAGCTCGAATGGATGGATGGCTGGAACGTGCACATCTCGCTATAGAAATTTCGCATTTTAATTTATTATAATTATTCATGGCCTATACCAACTTTGTTGTCTGCCTTGAAGCGCGCAAAAGGTGGGCTGGTAGGTAGTTACCGAGGTTCAATGTCAAGGCCACATCAAATTGCACCAGCAAGCTACTGGTGGGCAACCTTGAAGCAAATCGTGCTTGAAACATGTTCAACAATTTGTTGGAAAATTCACTGCTGATGACCAGTTTCCGGAATATTTCTCATGAAAAGACCAACAGCTTTCACCAGAGAAAAAAAGACGCAGTTGCTCTAACAACACAACAAACACCTTCTTTCATGTTGAATGCATTCCAAATGTGTTCCACTGCATAGATTTGCTCATTAAGCGTCGATAAAGTTTGGAAAACGTATTTTTGGGAGAATGACCGGATTTGCAGCTCGATCTTCGGCGCTTTATAAAAAATCAGCCTTCGCTTCGATCTGTATCAAATTTTCATCATTTATTCCTTTAAGTCTTCTTACAGTCGCCTTATAGATTTCAAATTCTCAATTGCTTTGGTTTGTATACGCTAAATTAAAAACGAGCATCTTTAGGAGATAAAAAAAAGGTTGTGAAGACTCGCCGTTATCTTGAATTGTCGCATTTTGCGTGAAAACTAGAAACATTTTTCGAATCATTTTTGGTCTAAAAAGTACACAATTTAAACCTTTATATTGCAATGAAAAGCAGACTTTTATAGCTCTACCGGTTCTCTAAATACGAGCCAACGAATAAGAGCGTTTCTGAAGTTTCGCAGTTATCTTGAATTGTCGCATTTTGCGTGAAAACTAGAAACATTTTTCGAATCATTTTTGGTCTAAAAAGTACACAATTTAAACCTCTATATCGCAATGAAAACCAGACTTTCATAGCTCAACCGGTTGTCTAAATACGAGCCAACAAATAAGAGCGTTTATGAAGACTCGCAGTTATCTTGAATTTTCACATTTTTCCAATTATTTTGGTCTAAAAAAGTATACAATTTAAACCTCTATATCGCAGTGAAAACCAGACTTTCATAGCTCAACCGGTTGTCTAAATACGAGCCAACGAATAAGAGCGTTTATGAAGACTCGCAGTTATCTTGAATTTTCACATTTTGCGTGAAAACTAGAATCAGTTATCGAATTATTTTTGGTCTAGAAAAGTACACAAATTTAAACCTCTATATTGCAATGAAAAGCAGACTTTCATAGATCAACCGGTTGTCTAAATACGAGCCAACGAATAAGAGCGTTTCTGAAGTTTCGCAATTATCTTGAATTTTCACATTTTGCGTGAAGACTAGAAACATTTTTCGAATTATTTTTGGTCTAAAAAAGTACACAATTTAAACCTTTATATTGCAATGAAAAGCACTTTTATAGCTCTACCGGTTCTCTAACTACGAGCCAACGAATAAGAGCGTTTCTGAAGTTTCGCAGTTATCTTGAATTTTCACATTTTTCGAATTATTTTTGGTCTAAAAAAGTACACAATTTAAACCTCTATATTGCAATGAAAACCAGACTTTTATAGCTCAACCGGTTGTCTGAATACGAGCCAACAAATAAGAGCGTTTATGAAGACTCGCAGTAATCTTGAATTTTCACACTTTGCGTGAAAACTAGAAACTTTTTTCCAATTATTTTGGTCTAAAAAAGTACACAATTTAAACCTCTATATCGCAATGAAAACCAGACTTTTATAGCTCAACCTGTTGTCTAAATATGAGCCAACAAATAAGAGCGTTTATGAAGACTCGCAGTTATCTTGAATTTTCACATTTTGCGTGAAAACTAGAAACATTTTTCGAATTATTTTGGTCTAAAAAAGTATACAATTTAAACTTCTATATCGCAGTGAAAACAAAACTTTCATAGCCCAACCGGTTGCCTAAATACGAGCCAACGAATAAGAGCGTTTGTAAAGTTTTGCAGTTATTTTGAATTTTCAGATTTTGCGTGAAAACTAGAAACATTTTTCCAATTATTTTGGTCTAAAAAAGTATACAATTTAAACCTCTATATCGCACTGAAAACCAGACTTTCATAGCTCAACCGGTTGTCTAAATACGAGCCAACGAATAAGAGCGTTTCTGAAGTTTTGCAGTTATTTTGAATTTTCAGATTTTGCGTGAAAACTAGAAACATTTTTCCAATTATTTTGGTCTAAAAAAGTGCACAATTTAAACCTCTATATCGCAGTGAAAACCAGACTTTTATAGCTCAACCGGTTGTCTAAATACGAGCCAACGAATAAGAGCGTTTCTGAAGACTCGCAGTTATCTTGAATTTTTACATTTTGCGTACAAAACTAGAAATATTTCTATTTCTAGAATATATATAAAATAATATTTGGCATAAAAGGTATGCAATTTGACGCACTTCTCGTAATCTCGTAATAGAAACAACAGTTTCGTAGCTCAACCGGTTCGTTAATTGTAAAAAGAGTCTCCTTAGAAGATCGAGCTGATTTGCAGGTCGATCTTCGGTGCTTTATCAAAATCACATTTGTGCATTAAAGGGTCTTCTATAAGTCTTATCGATCGTATTAGAACAGAACGCAACAGAATCAGAAGCGTCGCTCTTGAAGCTCAGTAAGAGTCGCTATAGTCGACATTTTTAAACATTAAACAGCCATGACTCAAAATTAACTCAAACTCACCCCGAAATTGCTACAAATGCTTGAAAACGCTCCGCTAAATTGCTACGAAAAACGCATTTGCACAAGCAATAGCCGACTAATTAAAAAAGTTGTTAGTAAACGGAGTGTCTATAAGGTGAGCGAACATATTGTTATTAAAACAGGAAATGCTTCAGCAATCGGAGGAAAATGGGCAAATAACGTCTCTCCTAAGTCGTAAATTGCCCTCTTCAATAAATAATCGCTGGAAACAACCGAAAAACTGGAAGCTGGAAAACATGCATTTCAAACTCCCGTTAATAACAACATTGGGACCCACCAAACTCAAAGTTTCAAGTGTTTGTTTATATTTTGTGCAACCATTTACGTTGTATTGTAAACAGAAATTACGAGATAGTTGTACGAATTTTACGGTAGTTTGATCAAATTACCCAAATGTTAATGAGGAGGAAACACATCCTTGGAAAAGCAGGCGAACAAACTTACTGAACAACTAACCAACTAGGAAAGAACTAAGCCCCATTTGTTAATACATAAAAAGGCACTAGATGAAATGGACATAACAAGGCAAAAAACACTTACTCTCACAGGTAAATGAACAGTGAATTCCAATGTAGAGAATAACACAAACGTTCTGGCACCGTCATTGAAACTTTCTCTACTTACCTAATAATCTTCAATGGTTACACTGCACAAATCACATGGTAATGTAGAGGAAAATGTGGCGAAAAGATGCACGAGAGTGTCAGTGGAAATTAACACCCCATTTTTCCAATATTCACTAATTTAGGGTTCAAAATAAAGGAAATAGTGAAGGCTTTCCCAGTGATTACGGCGCTCACAAATTTGACTTTGGCATCTCCGATTCTTCTTCTCCTCCCAATTTCTCATGCAAAGAGGACCATAACCCAGCATTTTCCCTTACATAACCTCGCAACTTTTCCAAAGAAAAAGCAGTTCTTGATGATTTCATCAGTTTTCTCTGGAGTTTTAACGCCAGAATTTTTCACAGCTTTTTTCAAAGAGTTGAAATAAACTCTCAAAGCTCTTTTAAAAGCACTATTAACTTTTCCAATGCCCAGGAAGAAGAAGTGAGTTGCATCGCCGCCAAGTCTTGCGGAGCGTGTCATATTGGCTTAGCCAAAAAACAGAGCTTTCGCCAAGAGAAACCGCAAAAACGCCCAATTTAAGCGCTTTATGACAAAGTAATGCAAAGCAGGAGGGTTTTGAAACCCCCTTTCCCTAGAAATTAAACACCGCTCCTGAGCAAAAGCGGCGAAATTGTCCTGGCCCCATAAACCATTTAGCGCACATTGGCACCGCCGCTGTCTAATGTCAAGCATGTAAACAAAAAAACATAAACAAACCCTGAGAAACCGCTCCTAAACAAAAATTGTGAAAAGTACACACATTACCTTGTTGCTAATGTAGGCCCAAGCCATGCCAGTGGATATCAAAGAACTCACCGAAGGATGGCTGGAGTTGGAAAGTGACCCGGGGCTTTTCACCCTCCTGTTGGAGGATTTTGGGGTAAAAGGGGTTCAAGTCGAAGAGATTTACGACCTAAACAAGCCCCTGGATAGCCAAGTGTACGGGTTCATATTCCTGTTCCGTTGGGTGGAGGAGCGCCGCTCCAGACGAAAAGTCGTCGAGCAAACTGAGACCTTTGTGAAGGATGAAGATGTTGTCAACAACATCTTTTTTGCCCAGCAAATGGTTCCGAACTCATGTGCCACTCATGCCTTGATCTCCATTCTGCTAAACTGTGCAAATATCCATCTGGGCGACACGTTGTTCAGGCTCAAAGCTCATACACATGGCATGTCGCCTGAGAATAAAGGCTGGGCTATTGGGAATACTCCAGAACTGGCTTGTGCCCATAATTCACATGCCATGCCGCAGGCCAAGAGACGGCTGGAAAAGAGCAGCAGTGTATCAACAGGCAGATTCACTGGACGAGGTTTGTGAAATGTGAATTTTCCAGCGAAAAGAGCGAAGAATAATCAGCACTGACTGTCTTTTAGGTGAGGCATTTCATTTTGTGAGCTTCGTACCAATAGGCGGTCGCCTTTACGAACTCGATGGTTTGAAGCCGTTCCCAATTGATCATGGGCCGTGCAGCGATCAGGATTGGACAGATAATTTCCGCAGCGTTATTCAGGACCGACTGGGAATCACTGCGGATGAATACAACGAGATCAGGTTCAATTTAATGGCAGTTGTTCCTGATAGACGGCTGGCTATTCAGCACAAGTTGAAAATGCTGAGGACCAACAAGCAGATTGTTCTGGATGCGTTGCAGCAGATCGTTAAAATCAAAGACAAGGGCGGAAAAACCGAGAATGTAAGCGATCCAGCCAAAAAAGCCGAAGAGGTGAAGATTGAAGATGAGGAACTGAAGCAGGAGATCAAGCAGCCGCTTGAAGAACCGGTAGCTGCCAGTAGCAGCAGCATGACGCTTTGTCCATTGGATTATTCAACTCCTCTGACTATTCAAACGTCGCCAGCGCCTAGTACTTCAGGAACGGACACGCCGTCCGATATTGGATCGAGTTCAGCTTTTAATTCGCCGACGCAAGGCTGGAACTGGACAAATGCGGCACAAAATAGCCCCAATTCAAGAGACTTAAAGCGGTTTGTTGTCCTGAGAATGGCCGAACAGGAAAAGAACAACGGTAAGTAACATTCATAATTAACGCAGCTGCTGATGGGTATGTTTGCAGCTTTGGAGGACAAGCTAAGTAAGAACATGGAGAAGAAATCGAGCAGCGGCGGAGTTCACGCCAGAGTGCACACAAGCGATGGAGATCCAGTTATAGCCGAGAAGAAGAACCAAGATATTTTAGAGCCGCACACTTTCGCTCCCAAGGACTTGCTGGCTCTGCTGCGCAACTTGGAAAACGAAATATGCGTTTGCGAGATGAGCCTCAAGGATGAAAACGATAAACAAAATAAATATAAAGTAGGTTCCATTAGTCCGGCTATTTGATAGGTAATTTTTTTATCAATTGCAGATAGACGATTGCAGAAGGACCCACAACTACGACGAGTTTATATGCACATTTCTGTCGATGCTGGCTGAGCAAGGCAAACTGGCCGATTTGGTGGAACAGAACCTTATACTGCCGAAGCGACCGAGCACGGGCATTCCAGTCCCGAAGAGTGTTAAAGTGAACAAAAAGGAAGTGAACAACCACACAAGAAAGAAGAAAAAGGGGCGAACCAAAGTAAAACGCCGAAGATAATTTATAGTCTTGTTCAAATAAGGTCTACTCATAAGAAATCATCTGGTTGAAATATTGTAACTGGCGAATAAAACTCCTTAATAGTTTCTACAGTAAACATTATTGCTATGTGTTCTGTGTTCAGCCGACCGTGTGTATAGAAGAAGAAAAATTTCAGTAATTAACTGACTTGCGATTGCTCTTAATAAAGAAAATCAACAAATATACATGCTAGATATCACATAAAAATCACACAAGTTGATCATCCAAAGCACATGTTATACGAGGGCGGTTTATCGGGGATGTTCATAATATCCAGCGCATCACTTGCAAACCAACCCTTCTCTTTCTCGCTCAATTCTGCAGGATCCGAATACAATTTAGCATCCAATGCAGGAGCGGAAACTCCCGCAGAATTTGTCGACTGAGGCTGCCCGAAAATGGAGGCAGAGTAATTGGCAGGGGGTGCATTCAAGGGAGTGCTTGAAGGGGCAGCCCCAAAGAGACTCTGCTGAGGCCCAGGGGCTGCAAACACATTCTGAGCCTGCTTTTGCTCCACTACTGCATTCTGAGCAAACACGTTCTGCGGGTTTTGGGTGGCTGTAGCGAAAATATTTCCTGATTGCTGCATAGGGTTTGCAAAAGGCTCAGCGGTTGGCGCAGAACTTGCGAACATATTCGATTGTTGCGGCACGTTTTGTCCTGTTGAAAATGACCCCGCCGCTCCAAATATGTTCGTTTGAGGAGACTGAGTGGCGAATATGTTTGTCGATGTTTGAGGCGCGCCGAAGGGGTTATTTGCGGGAGATGAGGCGAAGATATTTGCGGCAGGCTGTGGATTACTGCCGAAACTGTTAGTCGGTTGTCCAAATGAAGAGGCGAAAATGTTGGCAGGCTGCTGGATAGCACTGACTGTCGTTGAGATTGAGTTCTGCCCATACGTTCCACTACAGCTAGAAGGCGGACATTCGAACATGTTGTGGAGAATTGTCTTAACTTCCTCAGAAGGATTCTGCAGTGCGCGCACCTTCAGCAATGCAGTTTGGTAGAGCTGCTGCAACTGTTGCTTCTAAAACGCCGAAACAGTGAAATCCATCCACTTCCACGCACCGCTTTACTTACATATTGATCAACAGTCCCATTCCGAACGGCCTCGTAGTAGGCAAGGCGGATTTCTTCCTGGCTGTGGTCCTCAAACCCAGGAAACGCCGGTTTTTCTTTGAAGGGCGCAAATGTGGAGAACAGCCATTGTCCACCCTTTTCCGCTCCTGTTACTTCATGAACTGCAAACCGCAGGGCTGCCTGGAAGTTTTCTGGTCCTGTTTTCTGGGCAGCTGGTTGGGCATTAAACGTCGTTTGGCGAAGAATAGATGTGGACGGTTTGGTGCTCTCGTAGTTTGCATAGTTGCCTGCAATTGACGTGATTCAACAGCAGAAAACAAGGGCGAAATGCGGTAAAAGTTCAATAAACAAACACAGCGATCGGATAAGAATCGTGTTTGATTGCCATTTTCTCGGTCTCCAAACGCAAACAAAGCTAATGCGGTTGATTAGCGAACAACATGAAATCTCGCCTATGACTGATTCCAGAAAAGTGATCAATCAGCAATTTCCACTGGAAACTTCGCTGTTAATTCCACTACATCAAACCAAATTGCGTTTTCTCTCAGTATCGTGATTATTATATTTCGACTCAACTATTAAGGTCACGTAAACCCAGTCAAAGCAACTCTTTGTAATGAAATTAAGCTTTTTTTGCTGGCCTAAGTAGTGAAAAGTGCTGGTACTTAGAGAGTTTACAATTGAAAGGTTCATTTACACTATATTGCCTTGGATTCTGAACTTATGTTAATATTCCACTTGTGTACAGTGGGGTGTTCTCAGGCTTCGACACGCGTTAGTAAATATATGGAGAAATATAAATAAATAATTAAATTAAATTAATAGTATACATACTTGGGGCTTGATGCTGATTGCGACAATAAGTGCCGAATTTACAGGTGCCTCGCAGAAAGTATTGACACACCACCATGTTAATTAAACTAATTATAACACTGTTTGCTAATTATTGTTTTTGTCGAACATTGTTTAAATAAATTTAATCAAATTACGTTTTCGCTCAGTACCGTGATTATTATGTTTTGACTGAATTATTAAGGTCACGTAGATTTCTTTGCAGGTATTAAATTAGGAATTTTACCTCAAACCCAGTCAAAGCAAGTCTTTGTAATGAAATTAAGCTATTTTTGCTGGCCAAAGTAGTGAAAAGTGCTGGTACTTAGAGAGTTTACAGTTGAAAGATTCATTTACACTATTATTGCCTTGGATTCTGAACTTATGTTAATATTCCACTTGTGTACAGTGGTGCGTTCTCAGGCTTCGACACACGTTAGTAAATATATGGGAAAATATAAATAAATAACTAAATTAAAGTAATAGTATACATACTTGGGGCTTGATGCTGATTGCGACAATAAGTGCCGAATTTACAGGTGCCTCGCAGAAAATATTGACACACCACCATGTTAAATACACTAATTAAAACACTGTTTGCTAATTATTATTTTTGTCGAACATTGTTTAAATAAATTTAAACAAATATAAACAAACTCACGGATGACACTATAGTAGGTTATGTGGTGGTTATGTGTCTAGTCCACAGACTACTAGTCAATGCCAAGACACTTCAGAAAACTGGTGCTACAGAATATACATGCGGCAACGTCGGTACACGGTCTTAGATAAAATACCAGACAGTAATTTTTCTGAACTCATTTTGCCTGTAATTTTGTTAGAGTTTTACATCCAATTTTTGGCACTTTTTGGGTTGCAAAATTATGCCGCTAATTTACCAATTTTGTTTTGGAAGAGATCATTTTTTTAAATTCATTCACAATGTTTTAGTGAAACGACCTCTTTGAAATTAAATGTAATATTCGATATGAATTTTCAGCGTTTTATTGCGCTGAACAACTAGATTGTTGAAGGAGCAACTGAACTGTTGTAAACCAAATCTCAGAAGAAAAAGACTTAAGTACTTAAAACTGTTTGATCTTATTTTATAGTCATATTTTTCTCAGGATTAACTTGGTTTCTTTAGTTTAATTAAATCGGTTCAAAAATAAATCCTCAAACTATTGACAAAAATCGTTTATGTCCATCCAGGCCATTTTAATAATCACTTCGCCTTGATTGCGATTGTTCGAATGATGCGATTCTGATCCAGAAGCGCGCGATTTCTTCGGCTCCAGATCTTGGTCCTCATGATCTCCCGGCGTCCTTTCGCGGTGCCACAACGCGTCGCGACGTGTTTGGTGCGACGTCGACATTCCTTCTCCCATGCAAACAGCGCGAATAACAAATTCATAAGCCGCCTGCACATTTTTCAGCCATAATCCATCCATACTAGATTTGGCCAGGATTTGATCGCGAAAGTTCACCAGTTGGCCCACTTCTGCCAACTTTGTTTAGTGTTGTCTTTGAAAAGTTCCGCAAACTTTCGCCTCGCACGGAAATTATTGCTTTGGATTGTTCCCGGCTGCTAACTGATGGTATTAGATGCTGATTGTGTGTTTTAAAACTTAAAAAAAAATTATTTACATTCAAATTTTGCATGATCCGTTGCACGTTTGCTAAGCAATGTAAAACAGGCGCGCCTGGCATTTTTGCTTTGCAGAAGTATAAAAACCTCTCCATTAAGAATCGCGTCCATTTGTCTAGTGCTTAAAAGAATAAAATGCGTCTGAAATCCCCAAGCCTTTGTTGCACCCACCATAATCGCCACCTGCATATGGACGCTTAGGATATTTTCCGTTTTTAAAAGGTTCGACTCAAGTACGTGAAAATGTGTTTATACTTTATCATGCACGGCCCTTTACGCTTTAAGCTTTAATCTGGCCTGGAAATTTTAAAACGCGCTGCATAATCCGACCTTTAGGCCGTAAAAAGGCGCGCATTATTAAAGTCTCGCTAACTAAATTTTTCATTAAACCAAGCGCGCTTTGAGTGAATTTTTATTGAAAATCTCCGCTTCTAATATGGGAATCAACAAAAGTTTTGTCCAAATACTCCCATAATCCAAGCAAATCATCAGCAATTAGCCAAAAACAATCCATTACTGAGCAATTCGTTAATGCGCTAAATTAGTAGGCGTCTTGAAGCCCCTGTCAGCAAAGCCAGTTTCAGTTATTAATCACTAATGTAGTTATTAAATAACGCTAAATACGATGTCGCACGTGTACGACAACATTCCATTAAAACCCTTTAAACGGGACAAACTGGCCGTCGAGCAGAAAAGTTCCTCGAGAATATCGACGATCCAGAACAATCTGAAGCAGGAGGATGAAAAGAAGAGAAAAGGTTCGGCGGATTTTCTGAAGAGCTGCAGCGCCCAAGTGCAGAAGAAAACCAAATCGAAGAGCATTTCCGAGATGTTTTTCAAAGGTAAATTTCATGAAAAAAATGTGGCGTTTAAACCCGGGGTGCAAATGGGCTCGTCCCAGCTTGTGTTGCAGGCAACACCAGCGTTTCTATTGGACCGTTTGAATGGCCACTGGGCGTGGAATGTTACAAAGTCTCTTTGCACCACGCTTATTTTCAATGCTGGTACTTTTATTCGAAAAACCCCGAAAAAACATTGTTCTCTAATGTGTCTATCGTATCTACTAGTAAAAAGTTCGCTTTAGACCGTCAGTATATAAGAAGCGTTATTATGTGACACTCGGTATATGTGTTGCATTTTGGTTGAAGCGCAATTTCCAGTTTAACACTTAAAAAGCATCGCTTAATCCAGTGGATACAATTAGGTCGATGTCGAATGAAATTTGAAAATGTTGCACCTCAAGCCCGCTTGCCTCGAAGTTACATTGCAAGTTAATTTCCAGCACTGGTAAAAACTCATCAAAATAAATGGAAAAAATCCTGGCTAATTCGCCTTTCCACGGTTTCCTTCCATTTCCCAGGCAATCGGACTAGTTTAGAGTGAAAAAGTCAGTGATGCGAGCGTGTAGTGGTTTTTCTGCTTAGAGGAGGCGCATTAAATTATTGTCATGTCCATATGGGATTGTTCTATTCGCAGTTTTTCTCTTTCACAATTTAGAACGACAATTGCAAGATTTTGGGGAAAAATGAAAATAAATAGTAGTAGGTTAATGATAATCACAAAACGCATTAAAGCCACTTTAAACACGCAAAGGCAGCAAACAAAGAGAAACAACATTTTTTCCGATTAAACCCGTTTTTTTAAGATATAAATTACGAGTTCTGACTGATTTTCATTTGCAGGTCAAAATGGAGTTTCTTCCGAAGATTTTGGCAGCAATGACACGATCTGCGCGGAGAAAAGCGACGAAGATCTGAAGAAAACGACAACGATTCATTCGACTCCCACTTCCACTTTGGATGATGGTTACGAGTCTTCCAACAGCACTCCATTGGTATCAGGTACGAATGCTTTCCTCTCAAAAAGATCCTGAAGAGTTTTAATTATAAAAATGCAACTAAAGAATACATTTGCGACTCTGTTTCGCCTGCAACAAAACAACTTTTTGCTTGCGTGTTACACAATGTAGAAGATCGCTCTTCGATGAGCCAAATCTAGTGGTTCGAACTATTAAACTTCGGATGCGGACACTTTATACTGATGGAACAATCAATTAGGTTTCAGCAGACTTTACAAACCCAAACAAAGTTCCACATAAGAATTAATACAATAAAAAAATGATCACTTGATGGCGCTAGAGATTTCCATTGTTTATTGAAATGAAGTTCGATTCCTCAATCCTCAAACCCGACATGAGGGCATAAGGGAGCGGAAAACCGAAGGGAATAACTTCGGGACGATATTGGAGGCCTGGAATGCGGTAATGTGCAGCCTGCTTGGCTTCAGGAACGGTCTGGAATGTGCCAGCCACCTATAATTGTTCCAAAGACGCAGAACCTGCCTCTAATGACTGTAGTGACCGGCCTTGTCGCTCCATTAAATTCGAGAGGATTGTAAATAAAAGGGAAAGTTATGGGCCAGTGTAAACAGCATGGGAATTTGTCTTTTTCTTCACCGGCTAATTGCCCGACTGGAGACGTTTCTCTAAAGTCTCGTTGGGAGTCAAGTTTCCCGGTACTTTTATTTTTCAAAACCCGCTGAAATTAATTGAAATCAGGTCCTTGTTATTCTGCACATTCCAAGAGCAATTAGTTCGCAACTTTAATTGCAATTGAGGGCCAAATCTCCTAATTAAGTTCCTCCAAATTGAATTAAGCAGTGAAGTCACGATAACACACCAGATGATTAGTTAAGTGCCCAATCAAACTTTCGCGTTGAGTAATGAAGTTTTAGAGTTGAACCTAATTTTATCTATCGAGCTCTAAACGAGAATTCCTCGGACTGCCACTGCTCCATTTTGTGTAACGTATTTTTATTATTTACCCTTTTTTACTGCATTTGATGATGCATTGCAAGGTTCTTTAGGTTCGCAGTGTTTAGAATACGAAGATTTTATACAACTTCGTACTATTTTTGGTTTGTGCCCAAACAGTCAAGCAAGATATCAGATCAAAATCTTCCAGAATGTCGTAAATGATAGTAGAAAAACTTACTTTTAGGGATAGAAGCTGAAAATAGGACTTGGGATTCGGTTCCTGGTTTCTGCTCAAAGATTTCGCAATTCTTCTGGATACGAGTTTTCGTTTTACCTTGCCGAATTTTTGAAAAATCCGCGTTGTCCAAATCGCTTCGATTTAGTATCTGAAAGAATCGTAAAAATTTCCAGAAATTTCCTACCTAAGTGAGGTTTTCCTCATCTGAAGCGGCAGACTTTGTCTTTCGAGAGATATTTTCGGCAGGCTTGAGAAATTTTTGGTTTTTCCTTGACGAATTTTTGAAAAATCCTTGTTGTCCAGCGACCAATCGCCTTGATTTCCCATCTAAAAAAATCCTGAAAATTCCCAGAAATTTCCTATTAAAGTGAGTTTTTCCTCACTTAAAGCAGCCGATTTTGTCTTTCGAGTGATACGACGGGCTGTAGTCAGGAATTTTCGGTTTTTTCTTGGCGAATTTTTGGAAAGTCCGCGTTGACCAACGACCAATCGCTTCGATTTAGTATCTGAAAAAATTCTGAAAATTCCCAGAAATTTCCGATTAAAGTGACGTTTTCCTCATTAGAAGCCGAAGATTTTCTCTTTCGAGTGATATTCTGAACAGGCTTAAGAAATTTTTGGTTTTTTCTTGACATTTTTTTAAAACCCGTCTATCGGCCCCAACGGCCAGTTGCTTCCGCTTAGTAACTTAAAACATGCTGGGAATTTCCATAAATTTCCTGTTCAACTACATTTTTCCTCACYTAAAGCAGCCGATTTTCTCTTTTGAGTGAGATTATGGGTCGCATTGRTKAATTTTTGGTTTTTCCGTGGCGAATTTTTCAAAAGTCCAGTCCGTCCAGCGATCAATCGCTTCAATTTAGTATCTGAAAAATCTTGAAAATTCCCAGAAATTAAATATTAAAGTGAAGTTTTCCTCATTAGAAGCCGAAGAGTTTCTCTTTCGAGTGATATTCTCGGCAGGCTTCAGAAAATTTTGGTTTTTCCTTGACGTTTTTTAAATATCCGTCTATCTGTTCCAACGGCCAATCACTTCCGCTTAGTAAGTTAAAACTTTCTGGGAATTCCCAAAAATTTCCTATTAAAGTGAAGTTTTCCTCATTAGAAGCCGACGATTTTATCTTTCGAGTGATGTTCTGGGCAGGCTTAAAAAAGTTTTGGCTTTTTCTTAACATTTTTTTAAAATCCATCTATATGCTCCACCGGCCAACCGCTTCCGCTCAGCAACTTAAAACATGCTGGGAATTCCCAGAAATTTCCTATTCAAGTGCGTTTCTCCTCACTTAAAGCAGCGGATTTTCTCTTTTGAGTGATATTATGGGTCGCATTGAGGAATTTTTGGTTTTTCCGTGGCGAATTTTTTTAAAATCCAGTCCGTCCAGCGACCAATCGCTTCAATTTAGTATCTGAAAAAATCCTAAAAATTTCCAGAAATTTCCTATTAAAGTAAGGTTTTCCTCATTAGATGCCGAAGATTTTCTCTTTCGAGTGATATTCTGATCAGTCTTAAACATTTTTTTGTTTTTTCTTGACATTTTTTAAAAATCCGTCTATCTGCTCCAACGGCCAGCCGCTTCCGCTTAGTAACTTAAAACATTCTGGGAATTTCCAGAAATTCCCAATTCAAGTGAGCTTTTCCTCACTTAAAGTAGCCGATTTTCTCTTTTTAAGTAATATTATGGGTCGCATTGAGGAATTTTTGGATTTTTCTTGGCGAATTTTTGAAAAATCCGCGTTTATCGACTCGCCTTGGTAACTGAAAAACTCCTGGATTTCTCCGAAAACTTCCTATAAAAGTGAGTGAGTGGAAAATCTCACTTACTTCTTTACTCTCTCAACACTTTACTGTTGCTTCCATACGGAGTTTTCAATAAATTTGCAATAAAAACAAACTCTAAACCGTTTTTGCTGCGAAAAACCGTTTTTCCATGCTACCATTAATAGGGAAAATTGCCTGTCGCTGCACAGCTATTAAATGAAATCGACTTGTAATTGTTTATAGCTCTCGGGTGTCACTCAGCTAACATCGTTATATTTAATAGCTATATTAGGCCGGGCAATCGTCGACTGAATGATGCCTGTTTTCGCGTGCTGTCGCTATTTAATCTCATGCTCGAACCGTGAAAACTTCAACTTTTTTACTGCTTTTGTTCATTGCTGATTGGGAACATTAATAAATTTTTAATTTCCTGCAGAATCTAAGCGAAACTCGAGAATCTTTGATACCATGATTGATAAATGAGGCTAAAGGTGAAACTAAACATTGTTCGCATCGAAAACCTTCTCACTAATCGATAAAATATTCACCCTCTGATAAATCCCGTTTTGTTTGCTTCTAAATGCCATTATTTAACCATATATTTCCGATTCATTCTCCACTGGCTTTGGATTCTGTTTTAAATAGCATCAAGCGCTTTACCGGTTAAACCGATTGCAATCGATCAATTCCGCATCGGTTTTTATTCATTTCATCAAAACGTACTTTTCCCCGAAAAAATCGCTGAACAAAGGCGGCTTTTGGGTGTTCCTTATCGATTCGAGTGGACACTTTAACACTCCATTAATGAACCGCACTGAATATTAGGAAAGCAATGTTCATAACGAGGTGCTCCGCTCAAATTGGAATTCCATAAACAGTTTCGAGGACTTTTAATAAAGGAGAATTTATCGATTCCTGTATCGCCCTCATTTCCAATACCTACGTCTTGCCGACTAATTGAATGCCACTCGTATTCTAATCGTCGTTTCCAGCCTGGAAAGCCCGAAAAATTATTAAGATGTTTGAAAATTCACCAGAGACAAAGTTGATGGAAAATTTTGATGATGGTGGTTTTAAAAGAGACGAAACCCATAACGTTTAACGTAAATAAAAGGATGCGAGTAACCTTCCATTCTCTCTCAGCTGCTACACGCCATTAACAACCGGTTTTGCATTTAATTCACTTACACTCAATCGGAGCCAAAGAACTGAGAATTCTAAGGCAAAATTCGGCAAATCTTTCAATAGCTGAGCCGAAATATCCAATCAACAGCGATAAAATTGACGATTTTCTGATAAAAACACCTTTATGAAGGACAGAGTCAATCGCCTTCCAAAGCATTAAAATTTAGTAAAATGTGTGTCGTACGCCAGGAAGTTATGAAACTTTGGAAATTGCACAAAACCCATATTACTGGTAAAGAGAGTAAAATGTAATGGATGAAAATGTTTTGCTTGTATTCAAAATCCGGCGAAAAAGTCCATTTGCTATCTTAAGCACAATTCATAAATATTTTTTTTATTTGTTCATAACTTAGGAGCATATGACCCACATTTTACAAAAAATTGAACTTGCGAAATGTTCGAAGATGTTTTCAGGAACAGTTTCTAATGCGGAAATAAAAAAAAAATGCTTATAAGAATGGTCCAAATATTGCTTCGTGTGTTCGCAATGGAAAAAATAAAATTTTTGAGGGGCGTCCCGGGCGCAGGGGGTTTTAGTTAAATATTGTGCTAATTGTTTTCGTTGAAGTATATTTGAAGCTTTAGGATCAAGTAGAATTAGGGTAACGTAAATGTTTCTCTGCAAAAAGAACACTTTCTTTTTTTAACAGTTTTTATTCCTATTCCATAACTTACATATTTTTATTTGCTCACAACTTAAGAATATATGACACACATTTTACTTTAATTTTGAAATATGCGGTATGTCCGAAGATATTTTGAGGAATTGTTCCTTCTATAGAATGAAAGAAAAAGTTCTCATAAACATGCCCCAAAATATCGAATGCACTTTGTGCATGGTACATTGTTTCATAAAAACTCATTTTTTCAGAAAACTGTTCACAGTTGAGTAAAACATTTTCTTTAAAGCAATTTCGCGCCGGGGGTTTTAATTAAATATTGTGCTAGTTGTTTTCGTTGAAGTATATTTGAAGCTTTA